AAAAAAAAAAAAAAAAAAAAAAATTGAATCTATCTATCAGAAATCTAGGGTATAGTTCGAGTTTGATTTTTTTCCACATCTCGAACTATGTGGTAGGCCAATATCTGAAGTGGTTGTATCGGTTCTTTTGCATTAGTTTACTGCTTTTGATGACCACTGAAATGACGAATTTTAAGATCGCGCACGAATTTTCAACCCATCACGTTAAAATTTTTTCAGTAAAACATCATCCATGCCAAAAGCACTGGCGCAGGACACCATACGCGTTTTGATGCCAGAACTACTTTATTGATGACTGATCCTTCTGCTGATTATGTTCCACAAACAAAATTTCTGCGGACACCGTGACAACAAAAAATCATAAATTTTCCTAAGCAATAAAGAAAACAATGTTACAGTTTTACTATGACTTCAACACTTAAAGCGAAGTCAGCTACTACAAAGGCTGTTGACGGCGTTGAGAAACTGCCCTGCAACGGAAATTTGTGCGTCAAGTCAGCTAATCAGTCCTCTAGCCAGCAATAAATAAAACTTAAAAACTAGGCCGTGCCCTGAAATTCTTCATTTCCGCAAAACTTTTAAACCTAAAAAACAAGAGAAATGTAAGACAGTAGTAATCAGTTCTATCTTTCACAATTACTTGTTTTCAGTATAACATAAGTTGAATAAAAAAATTAAAAAACTGCCTTATGAACATTTAAATGCACCTATCTCACAGATAAACAAACACTCCAAAAAAATTTTCATGATATTTAAACGAAAAATGCATTGCTTAATACAGCTACCATTAAATCTACGAAAACAGCTTCAAAACGCCAGGCAGCAATCAAAAAATAAAATTCCCATCTTCAAATACCTTTTCAAAACTACTAGTTACCAACCGGCTGTCCTGCCATTCTAAAAACTGATAAGAACATTATCATTAAACTTCTTTACCGAAAAATTAAAGTAAGATAAAACAACAAAGAGCACTAGAGGAAAAACTAGTGCAAAAGTTCCCAATCCAATTGTTTGACAGGAAATAAATGTAAAGGGAATAAATGTAACCCAAATCAAATTGATTTTTTGCTGGTAAACAGCTAAGGAGAAGCAGAAACTATTGCAGCACTGTTTAGCGTTTAGCGAAACGTATGTAAGCAAAATGTTATCAATCGTAAATTTTTTGCAAAGAGTTTTGCTGCATCTAACAATTTTTTTCTGCTATATAACGTGAACCTGTTTCCTTTATGCATTACGAACACGGCATTTCGTTCTTTTTTGTGTGTATCTTTTTGTTTCTTTCATTTGCTAAACGCGGTAAACGTATTGCATGTTTTCTGCAACAAACATAATTAGAAAAGTACATATTAAGTACAAAAAATAAAGAGTAAAAAATAAAAAAATAACAAAAAAATAATCACAAAAACTCGAGCTCTCTTCTATTTTACCAGTAACAAAGAAAGTGGTATATCTCGGGTTTTGAAGTGGCAAAATCCGGCAGAGCTAAAAATTTACAACGATCAAATCCACCAACATTCCCTATTTATTAGTACTTCTTCAGAAAAACTTAAACAGTTTTGCTTAATTCTCTTTGCTCCATTTTTTTTTTTTGCACGTTCTCTTTTCCCCTTGCACCTTAATACATTCCTTTTCACCACTCCCACCACTATACTTGATACAATTTAACTGCCCCAGCAAAAGCAAAATGAAAAAAGAACAGATGAATAAAATAAAAATAAAATTTTTTTACGGGTAGAAAGGTCTTTAAACTACTAGAAAACCTTTGAAAAACTTCATAACGAGATATGGAAAAAGTTTCTTTTACGTGCAAAAATTGATCAGCAGTGGATTTTATTGACTACAACCAAACATTTTCAAGGCCAAAGCTAGATTCCTGCTATAGTGAAAACTGTCAAGTTTTATGCGAATAAACAGCGCTTCACAACTTTCAAAGACTTCTACTACAAATAAACCGTAAAATTTTTTTTTTTGCCGTACGACTACCCTGATTTTCTAAAAATCGTAAATCCAGCAAAACAGTTCCCTAAGAGATACTGTCATCATCTGGATACTTGACAAACGCGACATCTTGCAGCCACCCAGACCTAATGTTACACAGAGGTTTCCATAGTTTTCTAGCTCATACTACGGAAACAAGACTTTGACCCCAACCGTCAGCGGTGAAAGTTGCATTATAAATTTTATAAAGAACTTATTTTATCTTTACAACCTTTAGAAAGGGTAGCAATTTATTTCAGTAATTGTAATACTCATGTCAAAAAGTTTATTACTAAAATAATCTCGGAGAACTTCTTCAGTTCTACTGAAACTAAAAGTTTAATAGAAGAAATGTGCAAGAAGGTAATTTTTTCTTTTGGAAAGGTCAAGAAAACTTGTGCTTGAGCAATAAAGCACCTGTAATATGTTTGATGTCCAGTGGTGAGGAGGACTGAAGCGGTAAACAAGTATTTCAACCCCCCCCCCCGTAGCGGAAAATTACGAACGACACGCGTCTCGAATAGCCTTTCTCGTTGTAACAGAGGATATTCGAAAAATGTCGCCGCTCATGAAATATTGGATAATATAGTAGGACAGAAGAAATAGCAGGAGTAAAATAAATAGATTATTTTGACCGGTCAAACAGAGAGATCTAAAGGTCGGTTTACCTGCTGGACGTAATATCGACGAACCGCCAAATAAGAGTAGACTAATTTCATTATCCGGTATATTGGAATTTATAAGTAATAGCTCCAGTTGAGTCAAGTCCCACCAGTCGGTCAATAGCAAAATAGCTTGATCAATTCCAATATCTAATATATCGGAACTCGGACTCCAATAATAACTCTAATCGGGCTAACTCTCAATGATCGGCCGATCAGAGAAAAGAATAACTAATTTCAATATCCAATATACTGGAACTTGAACTATTTCTCTAACTCCGGTAACAAACCTTTACCAAGCAACCAAAATGATACATACAAGTATTAGCAAAGAGAATCTATTCAATAACAAAACGACAAAGGAAATCTTCGGGTCACTAAACTGCCTTTCCGGAAAAATACAAATTTTTACAGTGCTAATCCCTTTTATTGGTCAACTATTTATAAGATTACATGGATCACAAGGCCACCTTTGAACTTGTTTCTTCCTTGAAGGAACTTGACTCGCTTCTCGTGACACCCCCTGCAACAAGAAGCTAAAATTCAATACTTATGTTTGCATTCTCTCCCTTTGACAACAAATCTTAAAAAAAGCAGAGATTAACGACAAACGGGAATCCGCAAAAAACTAAACTGACAAGTAGATAATAGACTTATTTGACTGATTAGCTTTTCTAATGTCAACTGAGCAGGATGCATAATACGCTAGATGTTTCACTTCAAAATTACAAATAAAGAATGAAATGTTATTGCAAAATAAATGTATGTTTATACAGAAACTTTCAAAAAAACTAAAAAAATCAGTTAAAGGCAAAAAAAAATTCGATATGTATTGAAAAAACTGTTAGTATCTATCCTGATTTATTCCTTTTAAGTTTAGCAAACTAGTCTGAAAACAGTATTCCATGTTTTACAAACAAATTTATGTCCGCACTTAATTTAACAAACAAGAGGAAAAAATATTTTATAAGACTGCGGAGAGAACTGAAAAAAAAACGGAAGAAAACCAGTTAACTATCGCCTGTTTATATTATACACAATTCTTTTATGTTATGTAAAAAAAAATTTTTTTTCTCGATTCCCTACCGACTACAAATAATAAAAGTTAAAACCACCAATTATTCACTATTATTAAATCAGCCTTCTGACGATTAATAATACATAAAGTTGCCAAAATTAATTAACACTGATCGTTTACAGCGGACAGCTATAAAGTAAAGCAAGAAAATGATAAGAACTAAAAGGTTAAAATGAAAGTAACAAAAAAACTCTAATTAAATATTAGGAGAATGTGATGAAAAAGTTAATCTGAATTTATTATTAACAAACGAACCTGTGTAGATCAGCAAATTTTGACTGAAAAAGTTAGTTCAACAAATGTGCCCACGATGCTCGTCATCCAATAACTACTTTTTCTTCCAATATCAACATTATGCTATACTGGCCTGAAACAAACTGAAGGAATACCTGATAAAAATGGTTTCATCCGAAACTATTGTCGTTAGAAATATTTAACATATCTGTTAGACTCAGAAACCTAATATGTCAAGAAAAATGCACTAGGTTATACTGCGAAAAAAAACCTCAAACGATAAAATTGCATTTTATTCTTATCTAACAGTATTACTGTTTTTGTTGCTTGAAGCACTCAGTTGTATAAAGCAAATTACCGTCTTCGCCTGAGCAAATAAACTGCTACGTTAATAATTTTGCAGCTGAAAACTGCAGACTCGTTAAAAGGCGGTGTTTAAAGCTGTCAGTGAATTCACCTCAAATTTTCTTCATCTGCTACT